TAGCCACAAAAAAAGAGGAAACATTTTAGGATTAGATCTCTATAGTCTAGAAAGCAGTTACAGATTCTGTAAATGTTTCTATAAAATTGTTCTGAAAATCATAAACGACTGATTTTTGCTATGCCTAACCACCTATTGAGTTTAGTTTCGTGGCTGAAATTTGAATATTTTCCTCAAAACTTTGAAAGTAGGTTGTTGTAGTTCAGTTGTGGAATCAGTATTGTTCAGATAATCAATCATGTGAATATTTTGCAGAGGCCAACTGTTACTACTACTGTTGCAAAAGTACTATTTTTATTAGACTTACAGAAAATTTCATGTTTTTTCAGTTTCATAACGTCATTTCAATGATTGTGTGAATCGAATCAGTTTACAGTTACAAAATTTTAAAGGATTTTGAGATTTATTCTGTGACAAAATATTTTAAAAATATAGTTATAATTTAGTTTTAGATTCTGTTTTGGTCAATCCATACTTTCTTTACACACATTTTATTCTTGCCAATCTTAAATTTTTTATTAAGTTTAGAGCTTAAAGCTAAAGTTTAATTGAGAACTGACTAATTATGGTTCACATAGAACAGTAAATAAGGAATAAGATATGCCCATCTTCCATAAAAGAGATTGATTTTTATGTGCTATCAGATTTGGTATTGCTTTACCTGTTTCTTTTGCAGCAATACAATATAAAGAGTTTGTTTCTAAATGGTACTATGTAAAATACAGACTAGTGACAAATATTTAATAGCTGTAACTACGTCAATATTAATCTAAAGTAATTTACAGGTTTTCACCTACTGCAACAAAATTCAGAATTTAATTATTTGTCTTTATGGGGTTTCTGTGTATGTTTAATAAACATATGACTTCAGAACACTATTTGACAATTTTTTTTGTTGAGTCACTAGGAGTTAGTTTGGTCTTGCAGGCAAATTAAGATGCTTCTATTTATGCTTGTAGAGGAAATTTAAGTAGCAGTATGATTGCATCCTCTTTGATGCTGAGTCTGATAAAGTGCTTCATGAGAATCATGTAAAATTTTTGCTTGTTTTTGAAAAATCATAACACCTGAATTGAAATAATTATAATTTTTGATGTAATGGATTCAAAATGTGGTAGTGTTTACTTAGCTTTGCAATACTTTGAAAAGCAGGATTAATTTTTGATCAGTAGAAAATTTTAAAACATTTAAGATTTCTGACCATTATAATACTAGACCAGTAAAATGGTCTGAAAGAAGGAAATGTGCTCATCAGCTATAATTTCAAGTGTTGAATAGAGAATAATTAAAAATCTGTCTCATATGATAAAATAATTTCAATTATTTAATTATTTCTTATTTGCTTGTACTTAGTTTGAACAAAACAACCACGGTCAGTATTAAGGTAATGTCAAAGTTCTCTTGGCTGAGTAGCTTCAATCCTGACTTGTACCTCCATGTAGCTATTTTGTATTTGTCCATTTGGCAGGTGAATGGCCAGCAGATAAATTCAGTCCTACTGACACTGACAGCTATTGTGCTGGACTAAAAGTACACAGGATTCTTGTTCTGATTTTAGTCAGACTGTTTGTTGTAGGGGTCATGCATGTGTACAGAATGCCAGAAACATTATTTTAAATAATGTGTTTTTTCAGGAGGAAGACAACCTCTTCTATTCTCCCTAGTGGGTAAAAGTGATGGGAGTAATTTTACATGCAGCCTGCTTGATGGTTACTATCAAGCTCAGAGTATGTAGCTATAGGCTAAATTAGAGGCGCAGTTCCATCAGTGTGGCTGGACAACTGATGCTTTGTTAGAAAGTTCATGTAGGGTTTCACTTTTTTTCCTTCATTTAAGAATTCTGAAAGCAGATACAAGTAAGACAGGTCCAATTTCAAAAGATTCAGTCAATGGAGTTTTTCTGAAATCAAATCTAGACAGATTTTTCAAGGTGGTATGGAATGATAAATAAATGAAACAAGTCCAACTTTTTTGTTGGGCATTTTTTCAATCAACCCAATGCTGTTTGAACCACAGCTACTTTATGCCAGAGTACAAAACACTTTCTTATTACCATGGTCTAATGGCTGAAAAATATTTAAAATAATATTTTAAATTCTGTAATACCAAGACCTGCCATGCAAGTTTGTTTATAGACAGCAACAATTTTGGCCATTAGATGCTTTCTAAGGACTGAGATAATCTCAGTTGCAAGTTGATAGTATCTGATGCACAACAGAACTGGAGTAAAGGCTGTCTCTGGTGGGAATCCTTTACTGCTTTCAGGAGATTTCTGGACCATTCACCATTCCCTTTAGAAGATGCTTTTACTACTGACTTTGGAATTTGATCCTTACACATAAAAATAATCTCAGAAATGCTGTTGGATAAATTTGTATTGACTTCTGAGACTACCTGCAAATTAATTTAAGCTACTTTCCTTCTCTTCAAATGTTTACAAACAGTTTTTTAAGGGAACTTCCTTCATGTTTTTGTTTGTAAGTTAATCCTTTTGTCTGTTTATTTGATGCCTTTGCAAACTGACAGCCTCCAAAGTTGGTTAACTTGACAGCATCATGACAAAATCATAGTCTAGCTAGGGCAGTCAAGAGCAGACCCGAAAGGAACAATTTGACCACTTAACCATGAGCAGCAAGGGGTTATGAATTAGATATGAACTCTCCAGGAAATTGTAAAGGCATTATTACAGACAGGTCAGTCAAGAACTTGGTGCAGTATACTTTATTGGTAAAAACAGCAGAGAGTATTTTATTCCTAAGGGAAGGAGGCAGTTAGGTAAAAAATACCTTTCAGTGATACTGTTCTCTCTCCCTCTACCTATTTGAGTTTAGATTCACATCTCAAGAAATAGAGGGTACAAGTCAAAAAGGCAAGTTATACAGTGAGGTATTAGGAGGACAAACACATATTGACATGTGACATTAATTGTAAGATAAAGAAGTATGTTAGAGAAGGGCTTTTAACTCTTAACATTTTTGTCAAAACTTTTCCTTAAATGAATACAACATAGGGATGCTATTAAGAAGCAACTAATTTGAAATAGACATTTTTATTTTCTTTAACATACTATAAAATCCTTCTTCAGTACTGTCTTCTGCAGGATAACATTTAAGAGAAAAGCACGGGATATTTTGAACAAAAATAGCATCTGCAGTTTACAGCAGCTAGAATTGGAGCTGTACTCATGATGTGTTCTGTGCTCATTTTAGATCTGATGAGAAAGACAACTCCTTTTGACCAATGTGTCACTTTGAATGAATATAAGTTGCAACAGAAGCAATGAATTAAAAAGACTAAGGCTCAAACTCTGGCTACCCAGAAACTTTAATCAGTTTAACTATGTGGTTTTGAAGTAAGCCGAATTGGCGAACAAAGTCTTTAATTTTATTTAGGTTAGATTTACTTAAATTTCCTTAGTTTCTAACTGACTTATAAAATATACATCATCTGCATGCATACATAGCTGTACGTACGTATTAAAGCCTCTGTTGTGAGAAGGGTGCAACACAAGTTTACAAGCCACAATTTTTATATATTTCTGTGGGAAAAGAGTATTTAAAGAATAGCTTAATCAGTAGCTTCTGACACCTGACCTTTCAGTGCGTTTCCCTTCAAAAATACCTCCTCCCTCACCTCCCTGTAATTTCTTTGTACCAAACACTGCTGAGTTCTTTTTCATTAGTCTTAGTAACTTCGAGATACATGCTCATTATGTTTCACACTGGCATCACTAGGGCTGTGTACAGTTACCACTAATAGTATGATGGCTGCTAATGTATGGACACAACACAAAACAGATTTTTGAACAGTAAGCAAAAAATACATACTTTTGTGTGACTAGATTTACAACTCAAATGAATTTCATCTGACTAGATTGTACAGTGTACTCATCTGCATTTAATCCAGACAGCCTGTGCCTTCTCTACAGTTGAAGGAGATCTATTCTTTGGAGCCTGGATGGAAGTCATAACATCCTAATTTATTTGAGTTGCTACAGCCACAATGAAGCGCATGAATCAAAGTGTAGAAGAGTCCATTCTCTTCCATTGACTCTCCCTCTCTCAGGGGACAATGATTAATTCTGTTGAGTTGCCTACCTTTTAGAAAGATTATATCCCACTGTTATATGTGTTAAGTTAAATGAGTCTTACCTTATTCATTTCACCTAGTCACAAGTAGTTACTTGAAAGGTTTTAAAAGAATATGTTATATTTTTTCCTCATTCTATTATTACTGAGGAAACAGACATGATATCAGAAATTTCATGAGAGTTGGACCTCAATTGGAAAAATTCCGAATAAAAGCAAAAGCAAAGGCCAGACTTCAAATGTTGGACTTCCAAACAAAATGGAAAAAAAAAAAGAATAAAGTAAAAAATCTTAATGGAAATAAACAACAAAGTTTTGTAATGCTTTTACTGCCTAATGGAAAGCTGACCAAATCAGTTGAGAAACTCTTGGGACAGAGTCATGTGGTCTAACTTTAGACATCTGTCATCTGTATCTGCACTAGTCTCTCTAGGTTCCATTCACTTTTAATGAAAAAAGTAGGTGTTTTTACTTCCCTATCCTTCTAAATTATTTTAGATTCCTGTCTTAGGATGACATGAATAGCACTCTGCTGCTTCTGTTCATTGATTATAAAGAGAATCTTGATACCTAGTTCAGAGCACCTCATCCCTGCAAAATTCAGCGGCTATTAGGGCATCTGTTTCTCTACTGTAGAAAGTAAAGTGCTGTCCTGCACTTTATTCCAGCTTGCTTTGAGGAAGTAAACAGGAACTCTGCATTCCTAGGCATGGAAAACATTTACAGGAATGCAAAATTGCTAATCCTAAAATCAGTTTTATAGAGATCTCAAAAAAATTATTCCACAAAAAAATGGAAAAAAAACCTCAGTTGAATTACATAAACCAGATAAATTTCAGTGTTGTTACTCAGTGTAAAGGATTCCAAGAAAAGAGGAAATAATATTGAGTTCAAATTGTTCTTGACATGAAGCAATGCAGAACATATAAGCAGAATCACGACTTTCCCATGGGAACACTGGTCTGACTGCAATTTCCCAATAACGACTTCTGGTCCAGAATAACTCCTATAAATATCTTAGTGCATGCCATCTAAAGGGTATAGTGACTGTGGATCATTAGAGTCTGTAAATCAGTTGATTCCGTGTTCTTAATTTATGAAAGTATAATAGGTACTGTGTCTAGGACAGGAATGAGGGAAGGAAAAGAACGTAGAGGCAGTGCAATTCATTCTGAAGTGAAGATGGGCAAAAATATGGAAAAAGTGAGCAAAGGCAATGCAGACTAAACATGGATATAAATTTTATATACTTGGCACCAAACAATTTACATATTTCCTAAACAAAAACTTCCAAGGCAAGATAAAAATTAAGGAGAACACACAATCTCTCTCTATTTCTGGTATGCTTAGGCCTTTTAAAGGATTATTAACATCAGAAAATTACAATACATAGATGAGAGAATTGTTTGATAATACAAGTGATGAGTGTTTTATAAGCAGCGAACTTGTTGAATTGCAAATAATTGCATTAGAAGAAGTGATGAAAAGACAAGAAATTTGTTCTTACCCATTCAGAACAGAAGCCAAATGTGAAACTTTTCACCTTATATGGCAGGTTTTCTTATCTGGTGGGAACTGACTCAGCTGTGTTCAAAACATTAGAGCAGATGCTGGAACAAATTTCTTTTGCGTCTTTCAATTGTGTCCATGCCAACACACTCAACCACATCAAATTCTTTCTGGTCATTTACATTCATATGCTTACCACATATTTTAAAACCTGGAAGGCTCAAATTCAACTTGTAAATCAGAATTCTTAAAGCTGGATTTTTACTTGAGATGTAAGCGTTCCACACTAGTGGGTGGAAACAGGGCTCGATGTGATTGCCTAAACATGGGTAGGTAGTACCATTTGACTTGCCACTGCCATTCCAGCAAAGAGGTCCTTTGTCCCATCTGCCATGAAGGTGTCTTGGATGCCCTTGGGCATCTCAGGTAGTACTAGATGACTACATTTAGGCAAGTGGGAATGATTTGTTCATTATGTCAGTGGAACTTGTGTTGACCAAACAGTGATGTCTAGTTAAGGATTAATTGAATGTCTTTCTTGACTGCATTTTTTCAAGTTTTGATGCTGTGATCCATGTCTCTGGCTGTGTAAGGAGGGGAGCTATTATGTCTGTTGCTGTGAAAGTCAGAAAAGTTGGGTAGACCTTTTGGTAATGTAAAATGTTGCGAGTGGGATCTTGGCAGAACAAATCTCTATCCTCTCTTACTTGGTAATAAATTATCATCCATGATAGCCAGCAAATCCATTCTTACCTCATGTACTTATCTGAAATCAGCTGGTGCTAAATCTGGCATGCTCATTTCAGTGTAGTGAGTTTGTAGCTTGACTTTATTTAGTCTGCCAACAAAAAAAAAAAAAAAAAGCAATTTAATAATGGGGTTTTATTGCTTAGATATTTTATAGCTAGAATTATGTTATTCTCTATTTGGTTTTCCTTTGTGTATTTGAAAGGAGATAATTAATATCAATGAGTTGAGGTACTCTATACTGATGAGCAGGATGCACACTTTTGACTGACTGATGTAAGACATTTAAGATATTAAATGTAAAGATGCTGATGCAGCTTAATGGAATCATTACATGTTATAGTAAGACGTGTAGTACGTTTGCATTTGTTTATGTTGTACAGCCTGAGTTAGTCTGTCAGAACAATAAGGATGTATACCCATAGTACAGTCTTTGAAATCCACCCCCTGCAGTAGCTTCAGAAATGCTTTGGGTGAATTAGTAGTAAAGGATGTTATGACTTATTTTTGAGAAACTAGTGTTCTATTCAGTGTCAGGCAGAAGCCAAGAACTTGAGTAATGGGTTCTCAAAAATGTCAAACGTTCAAGAATAGCTACTTTCTATTGTTGAGAAGAAACATGCAAGTTGAAATTACTTCTTATAGTTGCTGGACTCTTTGATCTCTCATGTAAATATGTAATAAGTGGTCACTGGCAACAAAATTATATAATAAAAATTGCGAATATCCTTATTGTAAACTAAATGTATTTTATTAATTCAAATATTTTTTATGGGTCCCTGCATCAAAATAACAATGTTTCTAGTACTGTCAGCTTCCTAATAATTCCTGTGTATAATATGTGTGCAGAGTTCTTTACAAGATCTGCAGAAAAAGGGATTCAAGGCTGTTGTGGGTTAACCAACCCCAGCAGGCAGATCAGCCCCACACAGCCACTCACTCATTCTCCCACAGTGGGATGGGGGAAGGAATAAGAAGGGTAAAAGTGAAAATAAACTTGTGGGTTCAGATAAAGACAGTTTAACAGGTAAAGCAAAGCTACATTCACCAGCAGAGCAAAACAAGGAATTCATTCACTATTTCCCATCAGCAGGCGGGTGTTCAACCATCTCCAGGAAAGCAGGGCTTGGGAAGACAAACACTGTAACTCAAAATGTCATCTTTTTCTCCTTCTTCTCCCAGCTTTTACTGCTGACCATAGTGTCATATGGGTGTGGAACATCCTTTTGGTCAGTTGGGGTCAGCTGTCACAGCTGTGTCCCTTCCCAACTTCTTGTGCACCTCCAGCCTCCTTGCTGGTGGGTTGGTCTGAGAAGCAGAAAAGGCCATGACACTGTGCAAGATCTGTTCAGTTATAGCTAATACATCCCTGTTATCAACACTGTTTTCAGCACAAATCCTATGAGCTGCTGTGAATAAAATAAACTCTATCCCAGCCAAAACCAGTACTAAGGCCAAACCCAAACGTCAGCAGTGAGAATCAACTCAGGAGAGTTTTTGAATGAAGCAAGGAGTTGATGGGAGGAAGTTTAATATCTAGCTAGGGGGAACTAACCTTACATTTGGAGTATAGAGACCATGGTACTTAAAGAAGAGTACACAGTTGTGTCAGTTTAGTTATCTATTTTAACAGCAACTGCATGAGTTGGCATGTATCAATGTCATGCACTTGTCTCAGAGTTATTTCTGCTCCTTAGGCAAACCTAAGACTGTTTTTAGATCAGATCTTACAAACAACACATGGAACACTTTGGCCACTCAGCAGCAGAAAGGGACCGCACTGCTGCTTTAAGATTTTCTAGCACTACCTGCCTTTGTAAAAAATCCCTTCCCAGCTTTTTTGTAGGCCCCCTTCAGGTACTGGTAGGCTTCTATAAGATCTCCCTGAGCCTTTTCCATATCTGCATATTTGCTAAGTGATTGTCCAGCTAATTTAATCATTAATTTGGATTGCTAAAGTTACCTCTCTACTTGGCCTTTTAAATGCTATAAAAATAAATATATTATTTGATTTTCCTTTTGCAATCTTAGTTTATTTAAAAGTGTTGCTTTCTTGCTACTTTTAACAAACATTATTGAAGAAGCTGAGTGATATAACCATGTGCACTAAATATTGAAATTCTGTCTGTTATACATAGCACATTCTACACTGCTATTAAAAACTTTAATTTCATAACACAGTAAAAAACTTTGCAATTTTAATATTTTATCTAGCTTCATTGGAAAATAAATTCAGTCTAATGACTTTGTTGTAGGCGTAAATGAAGAAGCAGCTTAATTCTGAGAGTATTTAGCATTATTTTTCTTGATGTAATTCAGAATAGGATTTAATGTAATATGTAGCTGGTAAATTTACAGATAAGTGCCATTAATCAGCAGACTGTGCACTTCAGTCTGCTTTTCCTCTGTTGAAAAATTTCCTTTACAACTTTTAGCAAATAACTTTACTAAAGAAAGAAAGTGTTGTTTGGTTCACAATTTAATAAAGTATTTGAAAATTTAAATTAGGAAATTAAAGAGACTTAAACATGTCTTTAAAATTAAACTCATGTATAAATGCATTATGAAATACAGTGGAGCAGAAAGACTGAGATTCTCTCTTCCAGAGATAATCCATTCTTTCAAACTGTGGCTCATTCTTCCCAGTTTGATTGTGTTTATTTAAGTTGATGAATCTCATACTTTTTTTACTTCATTGACATGGGATAATCAGATGAAATTATACCAGCTTGTGTGTCTTAAGTTTTGAGCTCCTGAGGCTGAATTTTTCTGCTGAGGTCAATTGGCTTGAGATGTTGCATTGCAAAAACATGTTGGAATAAAGATAATTACATTCTCAACACATACTGTAAAGAAAAGAGTGAAAATAATGCTATTTATTTAGCCTTCAGAGCTATTTAATGGAAAATTACATCATTTCACAGTCAATTTTACGTATCAGTAAATGGTTTCTGCCTGTATATTTTTCTGTGCAGGTCAACTTCTATGTAAGAGTGAAGGCAATTTATACCCTTGGACACAGTGTATCTCTGATTGCCCTTACAACAGGAAGTATAATTCTTTGCCTTTTCAGGTATGTATTTTTCATGAGTAGATATGAACAATGATAACACAGTTTTAATTGTTGTCTGATTGCTCAGGTATTTAGAAAATGCATCAGTTTTACATTTTTCTCAATTAAACAGCTGACAATAATGTAATACTAACTTGTTTTTTGCTAGCACCAGTCATATTAAAAAAATTCATAGCACTTCATAAATTTACAGACATTACAACCCATATAAGAAAGAATAGTCATTTAGTAATTGATTATATAAAGCATTTTCTATTTGATTATTAAAATCAACGCCTTGAATTGCTCTTGAAAATTAGTAGGATGCTGGTCTCAACACTAGATAAGAGGGTAGCCATATTTTGCAGAAGCTTCTGAGTGGTCTCCAAGGGTACTGTACTTGAAGGTAATTAATTTGTTCAAGTGGGATTGTAAAGGTATGGATAATTGTGCTGAAGGATAGTGCTGGGTGTGCATTGTTTTTGTTAGGCAGTATTAGGAAACAACTGTCTGGGTTTTTTGCCTAATTTCTAGGACTTATCTGAGACTGAAAGCAATTTCCAGCTGGCAAAAGAAATTGCAAAATGGTATTATCAGTATCAGAACTTTTCTCAGTGTCTCCGCCCAGTTCTACCTGTCTAGTAGAATAGCCTTTATATCGTCCATCAAAAATTCCACAGAACTTTTCCATTCAGCACTAAGAAAAACATGAAATTGCATCTCTCAGGTTTGGTAGAAAAGAAGTACACGTAATTTGTTGAGGACAGCGTGTTGTTAGTTAGAGCCGCATTCCTCTGATGAACTATTCCTATAGCAAGTTCTGTAAGCCTCTCAGTCTGCCATAAAATTTTCTCAATATGTAAATATTCAGAGACTATTCAGAGCAGATCCATAACACATAATTATATTTTGGAATATCTTTGAAAAAAAAAAAGAATTGCATCCCTCATGGTTATCTTTTTTCTACCAGCAAGCGCTACAGGCAGATCATGCATTTTCAAAACTGTTAAAATCTAATAACACATTTAAGACAGAGTGTTATAGACATCTGAATGTTTTCCATCACCAGAAGTCAGTTATAAAAAACAGATTAAGAATTTCAGAGGTGTACTCAAAACCTTCAACTTTAGTTTAAATATCCAATTTGGGAACTCCCCAATCTCTCTATTGAGTCAGTGGAAAGACCCAGTTTTTTTTCAGGAAGGAACATAAGGTCTCCTAAGCCTCTCCCTAAAGAAACCTGTTTCTCTGTTATCTGCAGGGAGTGCAGGGGTCTCCTAACATAGTGAGTTGAATTAGGAACTCAAATAAGTAGGAAGAATACCCTGTTCAATATCTAGCTTCCCAAGCAGGTAGCTAGCAGCCAGTTATTGTGGAAGGCTGCAGCTGGAACAATTGCAAATTGTCAATAATAGAAGAGAATGCAAATGGCTATGTGTGTATGTCATAACTGTCTGTCTCTCAGGCACGTTTTATAGGGCATCCTATACATTAAAGTCATTTTTAAGGACAGAGTTTTGAAAAGAAGGATGTTTCTGTAAGTTTTAAGTTTTCTCTACTCAACTGATAACATCTCCTATCCAAGAGACATACTTTGCCCTGTCAGGTCCCACGGCTCTCTATAGAGAATGTCAATATACTGATCATAAAGATCAGTCACTCACCCCTGAAACACCTTCACCTTTGAATGTAACCAGCAAACTTTCACCTTACCGTGTTTAAAAAGGAGAGCAAAGAACAATTCTTCTAAGTGAACCTATCTAAAGGAGATAGTTGATAGTTAAGCAGTGAGTTAAAAATCAGGAGTTGTTAATGCAGTGGGGTTGTCAAAATCCTGACTTCATCCAGTGGGATTAGTGTATGAACTCTGGATATTAGTAACACAAGAGATTATAAAAATTGTGCATTGCTGCTGTATATATATGCTTGAAATTATCGATTTAATCCTGGATATGTCCAGTGTTTTTAATGAAACAAAACATGGAATAATGTGGAATTTAATTTAATTGTAGGTAATGTGCTCATGACAAGGAAATGGAAATTCTTTTTGAAGTATTACGACTTGACTTCTGCAGTCCATTGTATATTGTTATGGACTGTCTGGCAGAACAGATACAGCTTCAGGGCTTTGCAGTTGTTCACAGTATCACCTATAAATGCATGAAAGGTAGAACTGTTGGATGGGGAAAGGAGAGTTGTTTCTGGAAGTTTCCATGCAGTTACAATATTCTGTTTTGCATTTCTTCCAAAGAACTGGACTTGATTTTAATCTTTACAGAAACATTATGTGGGTTCCCATTATTAATATCTGTGAAGGACATATTTAGAAGCATTGTAAAAGGAAAGGATTTTATATTTGGCTAATCTTTTAATCTCAAAACAAAGACATAAAACATGAATATCTGTAAATACCTTGCCAGACTAAGCTGACAAGATTTTTAAAGTTACTATGGTGCCACAACCCTCATAATACTGTACGTAGTTATTACTATTAAAGCTAATTAGTAACTTTTCAGCACAATGTTTTCCTGTTGGAGGTTACCAGTTTCTCAGGCACATTCTTGCTTCTGTAATTTGTAATTTATAAACAGCAAAGCTAATAATTTTGATGTAGTCAAAAGAAGCTGCTTTACCTCTTCTTAGAATACAAGTTTCTTCATTTGAATATCTAAGTTTTAATATATCATAAAGTTTTAGAAGAGTGGAAATCAAAATGATTGAAAATAAGTAGTATTTTTCAGATATTTTAAAAAAGGTTGGTTTGTTCCAACTCAGAGTGAAAAAAAATTGTAGAACAGCATATTTCTACATAACACTGACATTCTAGACCTTACTGTAGATCTTACTATACTTCCTTCACGGTTATTCCTGTATAACTGTTACTTCCAAAAAATGTCAGTTTCTCTGATATGTCTTTCTGACCAAGGAAAAAAATATGAATCTCCATAATTTCTAAAAGATGTGCTCTCGTGTGCATCAACTGTCTGTAGACATTCCTCACGTGGTAGTTTCTTATCATGAGAGATTCATATCAAAGGAATAAGCATGAAAAGCCAGTATGTAGCACAATAACAGGAGTTAAATAAAAAAACAAACCAGAAAATAATAGGTGAGAGCATGTCTAAAATATATCCAGGATAATCAAAGTTTTATTTGCAAGAAAAACACTGGGATGACTGCACACACAGAAGGATATAAGAATCTATGTTTATTGTCAGCTTATGTTAAAGTGTGAGAGAATACCACTAGGATCTTTTGGTCTGTGGTACCAAAAAGGTGTAAAAGATACTTTATTTGTATATTTTGGACAGCCTATAATGATGATGAGGATGATGATGATAAAACAGCGAGGCAGCACTGACAATATGACAGAGGAAATTATATGCTCTTACTGAAGGTTCATATTACTAAGAAACGGCTGGAGATTAATAGAAGTCTGTTCAAGAGCTTTCTGTCTTGAAATCTAAAATATCTGTTTTTAAATCTTTTCTTAGAAAACTTCATTGTACTCGGAACTACATCCATCTGAACCTGTTCCTCTCTTTCATTCTAAGAGCCATCTCTGTTTTAGTCAAGGATGATATTCTCTATTCCAGCTCCAACACAGCTCACTGTCCAGAGGATCAAACCTCATGGGTAATAAACCTCATTTGCTACTTGGTATAATACTGTTGTGTCACTAAATTTTCCTCCTTGATCCTTTGAAATATTTAGGAATACGAAACTGTCAGTGTAAACAATTCTGTAGAGAATATAGTGATTAGCAAAATGGTCTATTAGAAATAGCCACAGAAAGAAGGTTGCAGCACAAGTAAGAGAAGTTAATGTTGTTTTGCATGTCCATGAAGGGACAACACGTCACCTGCCAAAACAAATCATGACCAGCTATGGCTCAGAATAAATATGGCCACAGCATGAATCAGCTGGGAGAGTTTGAGACAAACAGGAGTGCCATCAACTGGCAATGGTTAAAGGCAGCTCATCTGGAAATGTTCCAGCAGCTTTATCAGTGGTCCAGGAATGGGACAGCTATCAGTGGAGGGAGAGAAATGAGTTAGGGAATTAAATATTGTCTTTATTAACTCCCCTGTACTTTCTGACTATGACAGAAGTGTTGTCATCTGCATTCTCGGCAAGCTAATATGTTTACTTTGTTTTCATGCACAGGGGTTAAAAAAATCTCAGGCCTTGGTGTTAAAAGACTGACCACTGTAGGATATTCCTCATTCTCTGCCTCTGTTGTTTCAGTCAAAAGTGCTGCTTCAGAACCCTACAAATATTGCTAAATACCTTCTGAATTTAATTTACTACAGTTTAAGCTTGTGAAAAATGGAAGGAAGATATTTTTATATTGATGAAGCCACATTGTCCCAAAGAATAAAGTTTTTAGCAGTGACTACAAAGCTGCATGTGTGAATTAGTAATCTGGAATGTTTCTAATGAAGACAAATGTGCTCTGACTTAGACCCAAAGTAGGCAAAGTAGTTAGTAAGGCAGACTGCCAGGGGTAATAAAAAATTCTTAGGTCCCTGAAAGATTAGTCAATGGACTCTCAAAATACTACTCGATTTCCTTAATTTCTTTTATTCTTGAGTTATTCTTGGCTGCAAAGCCTCATACTTTCGTATTTGGATATGTCCAGTTTTGTGTACTGTTGAGTAATTTCTGTTGCATTGTATGTAGGATGATCTGACAGAGCTTGGCAAGGCTGTTTTGTCTTGCATTGGCTGGATGCTACCTTTCTTAGGTAACAGCATGTGGGATTTGCCCCTTTTGTTACGTATGAGATGTTCCACAGTTCTGCTGCATGCACAGATGTCTAAAAGCACACAGTTCAAAATTCAATGCAACTAGGTTCTGGATATGAATGACATAGAGCCATAATTTTGGCTAATTCTGCTGACAGATACCTTCATGGTTCAGCATCTGTAAATACACCTAGTACAGGATTAGCTGCAGGAGAGAGGAAAAATATTTTGATGCAGAGTTCTGGTATGTAAATCGAGAATATAATACAGGAGAGTGTTGGAACTTAAGACATTACCAAAGTTTTAGATTTTATGACTGCTAATCTGGTTGTAAGTAGTCATCAGCATAAAAGCAAATTTCAGCTTGCATTTTGAAATGTTTAATTTTCTCCATGTTAAATTTTCTGGCCCATTACTGGTCTGCAATGGATATCCCTTCAATGGATACAAAGTTCAGAGGCAAGATTAGTCTTACCACACAAGATGACTGAATTAAGTTGTTTCTCTGGGCTTCTGTCTTTCTCACTGAACAGTTTATCTCATCTGCTTTAAGGCTTTCTCTGAACACGCCTGTCTTTCTTTATGAGCTGTATAAGAACTTAGTTGGCTAGTAGGTGGCTAACTTTCACCAGAAACCTTGCTTGTATGCAGCTAAAATTAAGTGAAATGAATTCAAGCCTTTGGGCTCTTACTTAGTTGTCTATCTAGGCATGTACACAGGCATAAATATAGGCATTTATGTTGAGATACCTGAGACCCACGAGCTGGTGGATACAAAGAAGTATGTCTAGGAGGCTGATCCCCTTCTGGTTTATAAGCTGATGACTGGGGTCACTGAGGGCATCTCACTTCATTATAGACACCTATGTTTAGACAGAGGAAACAGTCACTAAATGAGTAAGTTACCTACTTAGGTATTTGGTGTACTTGGAGTTCTAACAGAAACAGTGGACGTATGAAGGGTATTTAAAATGGGGGGGTAAAGCAGGCAGAAACTAGAAGTTTTTCGTTCATTTTGTTTAGTCTGTTACATTCACCATATCATCACATTTCTCAGCTCATTCTCAGCAGAAACACTTCTATGCTCAACCCTCTCATCCCGGATTCCT